TCTGGCACGTATTTAAATGGCTTCAGATTATATTTGACCTACTGTTTCTACGTGGTTTTAGCAAGAGGGGGCTTCAAGTGATAGAATCTGCCTCTGTGACAACTGTGTTGTTTATACCATGAAATGTTTGTTTTTTAAAGAATTATTTTATTTAACTTTATTTACCTATTTACTCATTCGTTTATTTCAATTTAACCAAAGAGGGACAGAGTGAGAGAGGGAGAGACAGAGAGAAAGTGAGAAAGCAAGCTGCCAGGTCTGGGACTTGAACTGCATTCTGCCATGTGGGAATCCAGCGCCCCTAACCACCATAGCACCTACCAGCCCCCAAAATGTTGGGTTTTGTATAACGTGTGACTTATAGATAAACTCAGGTGACTCTGATGGATTTAAACAACTAGGTATGTTTCTCGATTGTTTCACATGATAAATAAACTTAAGGTTTTCTAAAAGAATATGCTTTTCATCGTGCTCATAAGGAACAGAAAGAGCTAAGCTCTAGAAATGCTATCAGTGAGCGATCTGGTCCTGGACAGTCTTGTTCTATAATTTGTAACGGGGAAATCTGCTCCCCTGAGAGCCCCATTCTCAATACCAAGGTAATGCAGAAGCCAAATTAGTAGTCAGCAGGCAGCTTGGGAGCCTATAAACAAAGAGAAGGAAACCAGACGCCCCTGGGAGAATGAGCGTAGCTCAGCACGGAGCAGGGACTCAGGGAACGTTTGAGGAACTGAGTTGAACTGTCCCTACCCTGCTATGTGTAGACACTTTCCCTGCTGACCCAGAACCATCTGATACAACCTCTCTTTTGGAAAGTGCCAGAGAAATGCACATTCGGACAACTTCTTTCCCGGTTTCGTATCCTCCCTGTGAACCAACTCCTCATGCTCAACTCCCAGGATCAGAGTTGTACACTGGCTTCAGCGGGAGTTTCGAACAACTGCAAGACACAAAAAGTTGGAAAATGTCCCATGAAGGTATGAAGTTTCATTTTCTCCAGAAAGATTGGAACATGTAGTGAGGTCCCACATTCCTGCCTGGCCTTGGACTGGGGAGCAGCTGGGCCTTGGGAGGAGAACCTGCTCCCAGGGCTCCATGGTCCCCTGACCCCTGTGTACTCACACCTGGCCTGCTTCACACAGTTATGCTGCCTGTGGCTCGCAGGCCTGGCTTTGCGACCTTGCCGTTCCAACTTTACTGCAGCCTGGCTACGAAGACAGTTTCCTGCCCTAGGGACACATTTTGGACACAAGTTATACTTGCATATTTCCCAGCCTGCCATCCACAAAACACACAAAGCATCTCTTAGGGTGAGTCATTGTGACGTTTAATTTTAATTGATTCTTGTCACTTAATTTTCAAAAGGGTCTGTGTCTGAATTGAAGTTCTTTTGTATACTGACAACTCCTCAATTTGTCTAAGGGATCCAGTGGCCCTGGGATCATAAAGAATTCTGTTTACAGGGTAAGCGTAAACCACTTTTATGTCATAGATGAGCCAAGGAAATGATCACCAACATTGAGTGAGCACTTCCAGTGTGTCAAGTACTAGTCTAAGTGATCCCGTTCATTTCTCACATAGCCTATGAGCGAGCATTCCAATTATCCTTATTTTACAGATGGAGAAACTAAGGCACTGGCCGTTAAGTCATGAAGTCAAAATTCGAACCCAGCAACTTGCCTCTGGGCCCCTCCATTATTTTTTTTTAAGAATTATTTATTTAATTTTATTTATTATTATTATTTTTTAATTTGACCAGAGAGAGAGAAAATGAGAAAGCAAGCTGTCAGGTTTGGGACTCACACTATGGTCGACCATATGGGAGTCCAGCACCTAGATCACCATGCCATCTTAACTACCTTGCACAGTGGCCTCTGGTGCAGAGACCAGCACCAGGGTCAGAGGTTTCACAAAGATTGCTTTAAGCCTCCTGGAAACCTGGGAGGCCTCCCATTTGCCGCACGTTAGAATCACCTAAGGAGCTTTTAAAACCTCCCAAGTGTGAAGTCAATACCACAATGGACTACCACTTGGAATCTAATGAATGGCAAATGGAATATCTGTGCACTATTTAGAAAAGCAATTTATCTATTTATCCCGAGAGAGGGAGACAGAGACAGAGAGTGAGGTAACCTCAACAGGGCCTTCGCATTGCGATCCAACTCCAGCCTAGCCAGGCAGAACCACTGTCACACATGGTTGTGCCCAACACGAACAGGGAGACCTAGGATATGAAGTGAGTCCTTTCCACACAGTCCCACTGTCACAGAGAGCTGCATCTGCTGCAGCTGGTCTATCCTTGCACGATTCTTGCAACATTTCTTTTTTCTTTTCTTTTTTTTTTTTTGAGAGGTTTTTCGCTATAGGGCGCGTGAGCTCGCCAGACAGACAGAGAGACAGAAAGCGAGAAATCATCCCCCAGAGGGGATGGCCACGCCGCAATCCCTTCTCCTCCATTCTCCTCTCGGGATCTTGGGCAAGCACGCAGTGTGAGTTTTAAGCCACCGGATCCGGGACGCGAACCGCGGTCGACTACGTGGGAATCCAGCGACATAGCCATTACGCTAACTGCTGGTCAAAAGATGCTCCATTGTGGACCCAGATGTGGTGAAGCCAGCTGGAGGGCATTACCGTGTGAGGGCTGAGGCTGTAGGAGAGGCCCAGGTTTGGTTCCCAGACCAATCTAATATCAAGAAACCATGGTCTTACCTAACCGAGAGGATGGGACAAGAGAAACCCGACGTGATGCAGTAACATAAAACAAAAACAAAAACAAAAACAAACAATCCCCCATAAGTAAAGAAAAAAAAAAGATGCTAAGGTATGGGGAAATAACATAAAGTAAGTGGTGTAAATTTGCTCGTGTCTCCAGCTTGAAATCCCTCCAATTCACCAGCCTCAGCCAGGGCCTACTTAAAAAGGCTCAGTGTCCTTCTACCTCTGTGCCTTCTCTTCTTTGAGGAACAATTTTCCAGACTCCCTGCAAGGAGTTTGTGGACACTTCACTTTCTCATGAGAGAAGAGGGCCTGGTCCTCAGACTTGAAGCCAGGAGAGGCCTATGGAAAAGAGAAGCAGCAAGGGCGGTGAGCTTAGGCGGACACGCTAAGGTTGGAGTGTTTAAACTGAAGACCGGGCATTTAAATTAAAATTCAGGCATGTGGCAGGAAAACCTCTGGGCCAAGGCAGGGGTCTTTCATCATAGGAGTTCTGGAGACTGGGTAGAAGGAAGACCCCTAGCATAACCATCAGAAAACCCAGGTTGGAGTCCTTCCAACAGTTTAAATGAGAACTAGTAGGACAATCTCTATTGGCATCATGCATGAAAAATGCCTAGACTGCGCACAGTAGGCCCTCAGGAATGTCAGTATTATAGGCTTATAATGGGCACTCCAGCCAGGTCTGGACATGAGCCTTGGCCTGGGCTCTGCCTCTTCTGTTGGTAAGATTTATTGAGAGTTTATTATTCTTCTGTGCCAGATAGCACTTGAAGTCCTTTGAGACCATGAGTTCGTGTAATGCTCAGAACAACCCTATTAAGTGGCTGCCATCGTTATCCCCATTTACAGGTGAGGAAACTGAGGTTCAGAGAGAGGAAGTAACTTCTCCAAGGTCACACAGTTAGTAGGGTGTAAACTGGAGTCGGAACTTAGGCAGCCTGGCTCCACAGCCGTCATCTTGGTCATTACGGCACTGATAGTATTAAAATCATAATCATAATGATCGAGAGCAAACTATGTGTCAAGCAATGTTACTGGCAAGGCCAAAAGGAGGTCTATGCATTCAACGTCCTTGGGAACAGGATCCTGCAGGTTGCCTAACAGATTAGTTACTTCCAGAAGCTAACACCCCTCTAGAACTTCTGGGGCCATTGGCAGAGAAGAGGGGTTGCAGTCAGAGCTGGGTAAGTGGCCCAGGGGAAACCATCTGCTGCTAGGTTCCCGCCTCTTTTTCACCAGGCAATTTTCAATGCCATACCTCTTCCCATCAGTGAGTGAACCTGACACCCTACAGCATTTCCTACTTCATTTTTGCTGCTAGGATGTGCAGTTTCCACCTCTTTTTCACCAGGCAGTTTTCAATGCCATACCTCTTCCCATCAGTGAGTGAACCTGACACCCTACAGCATTTCCTACTTCATTTTTGTTGCCCCCCTCTCCCCCCATCTTCTCCATCATATGTTACGTTTAGTGCTGCATATGGTGAGCTCCCAAGGTCAAGGGGACAGTTCAGAGTCAGGTGCTTTACTTAGGTTTTAAGATCTTTTAAAAGTTGCTTATTTAAGTCCCTCACCCTTTTGACGTTAAACTGAGTAAGCGATTCTGGCTATGTATTGATAGTTAGGCGGTGGGGCCGTAAAAATGAACCACCAGGCCCAAAATCGACACTGGTGCATTTGTGCTCTTCCTAGGTTAAACCTCCCTGGAGGGCTCCCCGCGGTTATACCAACACCCTCCGCTGTTAGTGGGCCTGAAAACAAACACTCATGTCACAGGCAGTCAGCCCTCTCCACACACTGATGAACAGTGGACAAGCAGCCCGAGTGCCGTTTCCATTCATTCGGCCACGTTCAATCAGTCCACCTTCCCAGGATTCTGCAACTTTATCGAACTCGGTATCCCACCGCAGGGTACGCCTCCCCCCAACTTCCCTTAATCACAGACTCTCGGCTGGTCAGGATCCTGACTCGGCGTTGCAGTCCTGACATCACCGAATGGGCCTCCTGGAAGGCTGCAGCAGCGGCGGCTTTCCCGCCCTACGGGAGCGCCCACTATGTGTCGGGCCCTGCGCTAAGCGTGCCACTGTGCAAAGTCCTGGGGGAGCGGCGGGGG